ATATGTCAAATGTTCTTACCTTTGAACCCTAATGGCATTTTAAAAGAAACAATTGAAAACACCCAAAATCCAAGTATACTAAGCCATGTACATAGTTTTAGCTTTGATGACCATGTTGAATTTTCAGTATTTAAAGACTCTGAGACAATATATGGCACTCCATTTTCTGGTCACATCCTTATTTGTGCTTTAAAGACATCCAGAGAAGATATATTTGAATAAACAAAGCTGAGGGAGCCTTTTAACGCTGCTGTTTCCAGAGCTGGGCTTCTCATTAATAAAAGTCAAGATTACTAATATTTATCAGGTCCTCAGTAAAGGATACTGCATGTTTGTCCCAGCCCCTTACATGCTGCAAAGCTCCCAAATAATGGATGAAATACTAAACCACTCAGTACATGTTTTGTTATTATACTAGGGAAAACACTTTTTAATCCCAATGGGATTTGAAAACAGGGGTTTTGAACAGTATTAGTCTGCAGGTATATCTAAACTACAAAGGTTTGATACTGCTTTAACTTCCATCCTGTGGAATTCTTGGATTTTCAGTTTGCCTGAAAGGGTACTTACATTTCTCTGCTAAAGAGTTGTAGTGCTCTCACCTGAAGTGCAGCAAACAGTTCTAAAGATGTCATCTAAGTATAGATTGCAGGATTCTATATGGAGCAATGGCAGTTAACAATAGTGCCAAACTGATAAAAGTATGTTATGCTTCCACATTTGGTAAATAACTACATCTCATGGTATAAGGTGGAGGCAGTTATATTCAAGCCAGACAATAAAATGGCAAAAATACAATCTGCCCCTTACATGCTGCAAGACATTTCGTATAGTTTATGTAGTAATCTCTGTGTTTGGATGTTTGTATTGTTCTGTTTGATTTCCTTCCTGTGGACTATGAATTCAGCTTGAAGATAATTTTCTCTTTGCAGCTGGTGTTTGTGAGAATGCCATCCTGGCTTTTAGCATGGGCAGCAAATGGCTTAAGCCTGCTCTGGTTATTCCCATCCTAAACACTGTACATGTGGGAAATATTAATGTGATCAGATCAGGTCTCAAATTATTTGGGGTTTGGCTCAGCATTGTTCTACCTGCTTTGACACTGCTGTAATTCCCAAAGTCAGTCAGCTGTGTGTGGAGGATGGAGGAGTGGATTAGCAAAGTTATACCTCAGTGGAAACCTCATGTGAGCATGCTCTAACATGATCTAGTGCAATTTCACATCCTCTATTAAAATATATAATTATGCAACCCAGCATGTGTATATGTGTATATATGTATTAGAGATTGGTACAGACTGCCGGTTTGGTGGTTTGTGCCAGTTCATTTAGTGGCCAACAAGGTGTTAGGTGCTTCAAAGCTCTGCCACCTCTGGCAGATGCCCATTTAGAGGCAGCACCGGGAGGAGGTGGGGCAGGGAAACCAAGCTGCTGCCTCTGAGTGGACGCCTATCAGAGGAGGCAGGGCTTTGAAGCACCAATCACTTCTTCAACTGCTAAATAAACTGGCACATCAAGCCAGCAGTTCATACCCACTTCTAATGTGTATATAAGAATGAATGAGATGCATTTGCATAAGAAATATGTTTAATGAATTAGATTCTGTCTAGTGTCAGCCAGTAGGTGTTTAGAGGGTTAACTATCATAAGAAAAAGTGGCAGGATGAGGCTTGTCTGTTAATATCTCTGTTTATATGTAGGTATTCAGGACATGGTGGCGCTGCGGGCTAAACCGCAGAAGCCTGTGCTGCAGGGTCAGAAGACCAGCAGTCGTAAGATCGAATACACGCCACGGAGTGAGCTCCTGTTGCTTTGTCCCAGCTCCTTGCCAACCTAGCAGTTTGAAAGCATGCAAATGCGGGTAGATAAATAGGTACCATCTCGGTGGGAAGGTAAAACGGCGTTCCCTAGTCACGCTGGCCACATGACAACGGAAACTGTCTTCTGACAAGCGCTGGCTCTACGGCTTGAAAAACGGGATGAGCACCGCCCCCTAGAGTCGGACACAACTGGACTAAAAATGTCAAAGGCAACCTTTACCTTTACCTTATTCAGTTAGAATTGTGCTGCTATGTGTGTGCTGTTACTATGTCTGATAAAAAGATGTTATGAAATTGTTGTAAGTTTGTCAAGCACAACCCAAATTCATACCAGATTGAATGAAATGGTAGTGTTAATTTATTCTTCAATATGTTATATATTAAACATTCTTAAAGTTTTTACCATTTTAATAATACTAAATGATTATTCTTTGCTCTACTGGCCTACACATATGTATATCAGGGGAGAATGTTATTAATATCTCAGCTACCTTTAATACCGTCGACCATGGTATCCTCCTGATGAGGCTCTCCGAGCTGGGAATTGGTGGTCTGGTGCTTGCCTGGCTCCAATCCTTCTTGGAGGACCGTCCTCAGAAAGTACAGCCTGGGGAGAGTGTATCGGCTAAGTGGAATCTCAATTGGGGGGTTCTGGAGGGCTCAATTAACTCCCCAATGCTGTTTAATATCTACATGAGGCCGCTGGATAAGGTCATCAGGGGGTATAGGGCTTCATGTCATCAGTATGTTAATGACACCCAGCTCTACATCTCCTTTTCCCCAACAACGGTGGATGCCGTTTCGTCCCTTCAGTGCTGCTTGTAGGCCGTATTGCACGAGATGCAAGTGAATGCTTTGAGGATGAACCCAGACAAGACGGAAGTCCTGAGGGTGGATGGCCAAGCCATTGGTGGTTTGGGAAACTCCCTCTCTTTTTGGGCGGGTGACTCTCACCACGAAGAGTGAGGTTCGCAGCTTGGGGATCCATCTGGATCCGGTGCTCACCATGGAAACTCTGGTACTGTCAGTGGTCCACACTGCCTACTTCCATCTTTGGTGGATTGCCCAGCTGAGTTCCTATCTTGATGTTGGGGTGCTCACCACTCTGGTGGCTTGTAGTCTCGAGATCAGACTACTGTAATGAGCACTATGTGGGTCTACCTTTGAGATTGATGCGGAAGCTTCAAATGGTGCAGAACGCAGTGGCCAGACTTCTTACTGGGCTGAGAAAACATCAACATATCTTCCCCACTATGGCTGCCCTGCATTGGCTGCCCGTTATTTTCCTCATTGATTTCAAAGTATTAATGATGACATATAAAGCCCTAAATGGTTTAGATTGAACCTCAGTATCTAGCTTTAGCCAGGATGGGCAGCTGAGGGGTCTAACGCCGAGGGAGGCCCAGAGAGAAAGAATAAGAAATCAGTCCTTCTTGGCAGTGGCCCCTTGCCTCTGGAACAATCTCCCCCCAGACATTTGTCTGGCTCCCTCGCTGGGTGCTTTTAAGAACAAACTCAAGACCTGGCTCTTTAGACAGGCCTTCCCTCCTGTCAATACCTAATTTATTTATTGCCATCTTCAATTGTGTTAATGTTGTTGTTTTATTTTATTTTATTATTAATTGGCTTGTTTTTAGCTGCCCAGAATAGACTTCAGTATAGATGGGTGGGGTATAAATTAAATAAATAAATAAATAATACTCTGTGTTTTTTTAAAAAATACTCATGCTTGATCCACTGCGTGTATAAACTTTCAGACATTTCAACATAGAGGTGTGTTGAACTACTTAATGAGAAGCAGTGGAGAATCAAAGTTCCCAATCATAGCTCTCATAGGTAAATAAATAGAGGGTGGATGAAGCAACAGCAGGAGAGGGCAGAACTAGCATGTTCCTCCTCTTACTGTGTTTATGTAAGAATACCTGATTTCTTCAGATCAATCATGTCCTCAAGACCATGAGGTTGCGGGACTCCTTGTCCACAACCTCAGTATGAATCCATACTGGCAGGAGCACCATCTTCCCCTTTGCCTTGAGTATTGTTCACGAACACCCCAATCTATTACTTGAATACAATAATGGCCAATGTTTGAGGAAAAAGTTAATTATTACTGAAATTATGTATATTCAGTACTACACACAGAGAGAGAGAGAGAGAGTGAGAGAGAGAGAGAGAGCTTTACTACTACTAGCAGTGTGATATTATTTGAATTCTGTGATATACTGTACCAACAATGAAATGTCTAAGAATACTCAGTAACTCCTAGCCTTGGATAATTTCACACCTGTGATACTATGCTGTTACCATTTGATTTGATCAAACGAAATAGAGTGGAGATTGGGTGAGTATGAAATGACTCACTTAACCCTTTTAACAGCCAGCTATGTTAGTCCAGCCCTGCACACTTAGTATCTGTTTGCAGGATTTTATCGTGGGATTGAATTGATAAGCTGTGCAGCTGGGCAGACTTGTTTCACTTGTCTGTATAGTAGTGGGGAACATAGGTGGCTGTAAAGATGCAGTGTATGGCTATTGCATTCTATGCTGAGCAGAATTTCAGGTTCTGCAAGGGGCAAACATTCTTTAAATTGTACAGCAAAGTGCAAAAGAGACCTGCATGCCTGCATGTGCGTGCAAACACAAACATGCAAAAGTATTCCTCTTCAGAGACATATGAGGAATGAAGTAATACATTTGTGCTGCTAAAATGCAAAACAATTCTCCCTATCATCCTGACATTGCATGTGTAATGCAGGTCCGTGTCAAGTTATTCCAATGTATGATACAGTACCATATCCCTAATACTGTATATTATTAATCAGTAAATTAATGTGACAATGCAACTGTTATAGAGGTGATCTCAGTGAAATCCCCGTGTGGTGTAATGGGTAGAATGTCATATTAAGATTCAAGAGGCCTGTCCTCCCACTACTTTTTTTTCTAAAAGAACTTCAGTCAATAATGGAGGAAGTATAGCCTCCAGAACTTCTTCATAAGTGCTTAGAGCTCCACTGAACAAAGGGTCAAAGCATTATAAAGTGCTATCTTTGCCAAAGCCCTCACCAGTTTTGCAACTTGGGGTGTGCTCTGGGTTTGTGTAACTATTGTGTAAGCATTGCTTGTTTAACTTCGGCTAAACCAGCATTTCACAGCAGGTTACATTACTGCAGATGCTTGGTCAGGTTAAGTCCTACCTTTGAACCTATAACAGGTTCAAAGATTGCCTGGGTGCAATGCTTTTCTTTTATTAAAGCCGCTTGAGCAAAGAGAGCAGGTACAGACCCGCCGCAAGGATTGCTTGGGAAACGGACATATTTCAAGCCTCCATGTGAATCTAGGCTGGACAAACTCTTACCCACTGTTGTGTTTGTGCTTAGCAGGACACAAGGTAAGCCTTGCAACTGACTTTCAATCACAGTCTAACAGTGCAAAAGGAGCTATTTGAAGTTCCCCAAATGGCTAAATACTATACAGGTAATAGCAATTTCACTGCTAGTAGGTTTTAATACAGTTGTTAGTACTAAACTCTTTGGAAGAATAGGAAGCAAAATGCTGACATGACAACCAACCAGCTTAAATTTAAAATCTTATTTCAATCAATATGATAAATAATATTCCATTTCTGTGTAACATAAGCTTTTCTTTACTTGAAACTGTGATGATCAATCCTAATTTAAGGCATCGTGAGAGAGAGAATTTCTTTCCTTAGCTAGCACAACAATTCCACCTGGAATTATTTGTGGAAAGATCCATGCTTGCTATCTGCTTTGGAAGTGGAAGTCAAGCATATTAAATTAATGGCATTAAATTATTTTTTAAAAAAATGTCACTACGTCACTCTTGATTGCAATGCAGTTCCAACTACACCTTATCTCAAATCTGTTCCTACATGATGTATCAGCTATTGGAAGAAAAATGATAATTGGCAATAAGAGAGATCTGAATGTGAGCCAAGTTGGGTGAGCATCCTATCACCTAAATACCTCTCTTGACCTGAGAGATTGTATCTCTGTATGACTAAAAACTTATTTCTGGCAGTAACCAAGTTGTAATTACTAAAGTGGTTCCCACAACTGCTTCAGAAGCACATGTAGCGTAGCTTGTAATGACTAGATTTAAAACAAACAAACCAAAGAATAATAAAAATGAGGAGCAGCAACCAGGGAAACCTTCCCAATGACACTTTTCTGTATTTGACTTATTGCCTAGTCTCTGTGTGCCATTGCCAGAAGCAAAATATTTTAGCCAATAATTAATGGGCTAAATCATTGTCTTCCTGTATATAAAACAAATAAATTGTGAGCTAAACCCAACTAAAATGCAGCCTCTGAATGAATGGGACTTGTTATTATTGTTGAATAGGGACTGGACAGATCAGACAGATTTCTGGAGGAAAAGTCCAACACAGTTACAAGCCATGATGGGGATGTATAATCTCCAGGCTTAAAAGGAATTTAAAAGTACCTCAAAATGGCAGATGCAGGGGAGTGGTATCAGGAGGCCACTGTGAGATACAGTGGGGTCTTGACTTGAGAACTTAATCCGTATTTTAAGGCGGTTCTCAAGTCAAAAAGTCTGTAGGTCAAGTCTCCATTGACCTACAGTGCATTGAAAACTGATTAATCCCGTAACAGGCGGTTTTTGTTCCATTTTGGTTTTTTTCTGGTCTGTAAGTCAATTCTCAGGCTGCAAGTCAAACCTAAATTTTGCGGCCAGAGAAGTCTGTAACTCAGCAAAAGCATCTGATGGGGCACTGTGAGATATAGGAAGCTGGACTAGATGGGCCCTTGGCCTGATCCAGCGGAGCTCTTCTCATGTTTTTATGTTTATGTTAGGTAGGACTTACTGATTCATTGGTTCCACTTTAGTAAAGATTAAATCATTAGTCTTTTAAAATATATTTTTTGGGGGAGCCTCTAAGTGGTGGGCAACGTGTGACTATCCAGACGTTCTTGTATATCCCGGAAATTCTCACTTCTAGCTATAATAGTTAGAACTCATGGAAGTTGCAGGCAATGTATCTGGATACCTGTACTTTGGCCACCCTTGTTTTATAATCTTAGAACTGTAGAGGTGGAAGGGACCCTATGAATCATCAAGTCCAACCCTTGTTATGGAGGCATGGAGAGAATCAAACTCCTAGCCACTGGCTCTGTAGCTAGTGACCTAAACCACTGAGCAGTTATGTGCATATACACCCGAGTGGGGGATTTTTTTTAAAATAGATTGCTGTACCTTACTGTTTTGAATGTGTTTTGGAGTTGCTTATGTTTTTTGTGTGGTATTTGTTTGCTCCTTTTTAGTATTTGCATACTCACTGTTGTTAGCTTTAATATTGTCTCTTAATGATGTTGGCTGCCTTGGGTCCTTTTAAGGAGAAAGACAGGGTAAAAACAAACAAATAATTAACCAACCACCTGGAGTATCGTTATTTCTTTGCTGGGGAGGGGAAAAACAAACTTCAAAGCTGCCAAATTCTGTCCATTAATAAGGTAGCTTTCCTATCTCATGTTTCGGTATACAATATTAACCACCATGCTGGCTATTAAGCAGTACTCATGTCTTTCATTAGGTCTAGCCATCATTTATTAACTTTACAGCTTTAGGGCTACTGACAGCAAAGACTTGCTCTTCTGCCTTTAGAAGCCCAAGAGCCAAAATCTAGCAGGCATTTTTAGACAGGAAAATGAGTAGATGTTGTCAATAAAAAATAAGGGGAAAAAAACTACCAAAAAGAAATGAATACGGTAGAAAGTAAAATTACACCTATTCTGTATTTTTATGTTGTGTCCAAATTACAAGGTCAGGTTCCTTTAAAAACAGCTAGCAGCTTGGGAAAATGTTGCTATGAAGAGAGGGAAAACTGCATAGTATTAAACAGGATCGGCTTGGGTGTGACAATGAACTGTGGTGTAGTGTTATAGTCTCAAGCCTAACAAACAAGCCCTCCTTTTACGGTGTTGTAGGGAAGAGAGAGAGAAAAAGCCTTGGCTTTTACTTTTAGTTAACTGCAGTTTGAATTCAAAACCATGATTTGCAGTTGGCTTATTAAACCATAATCAGGAATAACCTGAGTTTAGTTTTCAATTTGAGCTTGGCAAGGTTAATTATGAACTACAACTCCCAGAATCCTCCAGTAAGTGTGGAGATGTCGAGAAATATAGTTTTTAAAAAGGACTGCTAAAGCTTTTTTTAAAAAATACATAACACAAAACTGCAGTTAGCTAAATATGGGGTGGGGGGGATTTGTAATCTCCATGTGGCATCTGTAAGACAAGAAAACTGATAAGCCCTAAATTTGTTCATACAACCCTGGTTCAGCTAAACCAACCCATGTGAGTGTATTAATGAGATTACCCTTTGTAAGACAAACAGAGAGACATTAATTACTCTACTAAGACTGCCCGTCCTATGCAAACACTCCTCAGAGTAAGGACCACTAAGAACAGTGGGCTCACTTCTGAATAACAAAAGAGAGGCTCATTGTGCATTGCTTTGATCCTAAATACTGAGTAGCTTTGAGTTCTACAGTATGTGGCATTTCTTTCCCATAGGCTTGGTAACTGGAGCTGTTTTGTTTTTTTGTTTTTTAATTTGAACTTAAAGCAGTAAAGATGCAGTAAAGTGCAAAAACATTGCCCTACAAGCAATTCGGTTTGCCACCTGACACTTTTAGCCTTAATGTGGTTACCCACTTTCCTTCCTGTTATGTTAAAGCTCCTTATAGCTTAGCACCGTATACTTTTGTGTAGAAATAAGCATTGCTGAGTTCAGGAGGCTTCCCTCTAAAGAAATGTGTGTGTAACTGTAATCCTGAGAACAATTAGTCACTTCCTGTTAACGAGGCCTGCCTCTTATGAGAGCTCTTCCCTGCACTTCCTGAATGTGTCTGTTATTTAAAGCTGTGAGCATGCAGCGTTCACCTTAGGCTCATAATTGGTAAGTGGCATCTTCTTTCTATTTACAGTACAGTATAAGACTTAGAACATGGTAGATCAGTTATAATTTGTCTCTGACATAGATAGTGTATATTGTGCTGTGTTTGTTCTGGATGAAAACTGAGCTTTAGATGTAATTTGATATTGAAAGGGATATCCAAGTTATGCTAGTGTCGTAATTTTCACTGGAGAAAGTCCTTCCTGCTCTTACAACTCTTTCTGTAATATTACTTAGGGTGACCAGAGGAAACTTTAGTAGTTGTTCAGAAGAGGAAATTTTGGTAGGTTCTAAACTTAAATGTACAGGAACTATTCTTTTTTATCTGGTCACCCTTTTGTTACTTTGGTGTTATTGGTTACACTTATATACCAAGTTTCTTCAGAGGAAACAGTGTTCTTAGTCTTAATCTTAGTCTATTAATCTGAATAATTTATTCTATAGATAAGGAATTTGTAAGGTTCCTTTATGGTTTTTATATTCTGTGGAGACTTAACCAAAATCAACATTATAGTTTTAGAAATTCATATTTAAAGGTAAGAATGAAGTTTTAAAGAAGTGTACAACCCCCCTTTTAAAAAAAAAGCCTAGTGCCTAGGTGGTTTGTTATCTAGTGTTTCTCAAGTAGTTCCAAAGGTGAAGTCTTCAGTTATTCCTTCATGATATGCAAGTATTGTATATATTTTTACACAAGCACTCTATGTTTGAGCTTTCTGCAGCTTCGGCACTGACTAATAAAAGCAATGTGAAATGGCATCATACACTAGTTTTTACTATTCTTTCTGTGGAATAGGAACTAAACGTATGCAATTAGTAAATAACTTCCAGAAATTCTGTTACCATTCAGGTGGATTATAAATGTTTGTATGGGTAGGAAACAAACACAAGGTGCTGCCTTACGACAGGCTAAATGTTTTTAGTTTTCCTTCTTGCTCACTACTGACTACTGTGTTTCCCCGAAAATAAGACAGGGTCTTATATTTAATTTTGCTCAAAAAATGTATTAGGGCTTATTTTTGGGAAATCTTTTATTTTTTTCATGTACTGTACAACAATCTACATTTATTCAAATAGTCATGCCATCTTCTGGTTGCTGCACAATGGTGGAGGGTGGGGTTTCACTTAATAGGGCTTATTCTTGGGGGTAGGGCTTATATTACGAGCATCCTGAAAAATCATTACTAGGGCTTATTTTCAGGTTAGGTTTTATTTTTGGAGAAAGAGGGTACAACGAGATCCAGGGTTTCATACCAGAGTCCTTCTTAGCCCTTCGTGGAAATGCCAGGGCCTCAGAGTGGGCCTTCTGTTTCCTACCATTGACTCTTTGCCTGCCTCCTATGAAACAACTGGAGGAAGTTCTCAAATCTTGAGCAATCTTGTTTCCTCTCAGAAATGCAGCTTCTGATAAGTAACTACTTCAGTTAGGAATAAGAACACTTACAGCTAAGGACA